CGTGAAAATCCCAGTAGATCAGCAGTTTCTGAAATACTCAGACCAGCCCTTCTGGAACCAACAATCATGCCACGTACTGATGCTCGGTTTGAACTGCAGGAGATTGTCTTGACCATGTCTACATGCTTAAATGCACTGAGTTGCTGCCATGTGATTGGCTGCTTAGAAATTAAGTGTTAACGAGCAGTTGGACAGGTGTACCTAATAAAGTGGCCGGTGAGTGTATATGTATCTGTATATATATAGATATTGATATATATATGCTTGGATGCTCTTATTTTATGCCTAAAAAACATTCAGGGTGAATGCAGCATAAGGGACTACCCAGCCACCTTTTAAGGAAAGCTAATTTTAGTTGCTTGTGTTCTGAATCACGTTCTTTCAGTCATGATTCAGATTTCATGACCATACATGAGGGTAGGAACAGAGAATTATCGATAAATCCAGAATTTTGCCTTTTGACTCCATTCTCTTCTCACCAAAATAGGAGGGTGCACCGTCCACATTATAGCAATAGCTATATTGATCTGTCTATTAATATCCCACTCCATTTTTCACTCAGCCGTAAACCAACCTGAAAGGGACAAGTCACCTTTTTCTGGTCGAGATCATGACTAATTATGAGTTACCAGTATGAAAGAAACATGTTGTGATTGAACGTTGATGATGTGCTTGTACTACGCATTAAACACTATCTGATAGGAAAACATTTACATACATGGCTATTTTCACTTTACAGTACACTTTATTAAAAGTGATACAGATAATAAACAATCCTATTTTTTAAGTTAAAAAAAGATTATGTTCATTGCATTAAAATTGAAATCTTACTCCGAAAGTGCCTATTTCTTTCGCTCTTAGGTTCTCTTATATCATTATATTGATATCAAGATAATGATACCAAGATCTCATTACCTTGATATTTAATATGGAATTTAGAACATTTTGTTTGAGAACCCCAATCAAAGGATGATCATGAGATCTGCTCTGATATTTGGTTAAGAGAAGGGGACATAAAAAAAACAGCAAAATTGTTTGATTTAAAGCTTTTGTCATTAATTTGGGCTTTAACTGTAAAATGAAAAAGCATCACAGCAAAAAGGAGATTTTGTTACATTTAAAATGTATTTAGCTTTATTTCGTAAGGATCACATTGGTTCAAGCATACAGAAAATTATTTCATACTTCTGAATGGGTTACAATACTTCTGTCAGATAAGACTTTAAATAGAATCAGATAACAGCAGTTAAGTTGTTACATAAGCAAGTGCAATATTCGTAGCTTATATGATAGAGATGACACTTTGTGGTTTTGGAAGACATTTGTCTTTTACAATAGTTACTTTCTAAGATCAGTTCAAACTACAATAGAGGTAAAGCTCACAGAGTTGATGGTTGAACTTTATGTGTTGTATTTTACAAAAATACTTCTGTTGTTCCTTATGACAACCACAATAATAAAAAAAAAAACAGACTTCATTTACATGAAGAATATTTGATTCCCTTCATTTCATCCCGGTAGTCTGGTTTCAAATATTAGAATATTTGGTAAATATAGAAGAAAGAGAGCTGCTGTTTTTTGTAAGAAACTGTAGCATCAGATACCAGCTACATCATGATGTAGGCTGGCTTGTGGGTAGATTATTTGCACGTTTACAGGTTGGTGTTTGAACCAGAAACCTTTTTGGCCTCCAGCTGGCTGATGAGCTCCTTCACCCAGGGTGCTGAAGGACTGACACACAGCTGACGGCCTGCAACTGTTTTCAGCCTGGAAATGAAAAAGGAAGAGGAGACCGTCAGGAGATCCAGGACCAGATAAAGTATCACTGGTGCACTTCTGTAACAGTGAATACTCACAAAAAGGCAGGGTTGGGGCAGCGCTGACTGGTTTTGGTGTAGCCCACCACCCTATTTATTGAAACCTTATTGTCATTGAACTGGAAGCAGCACTTCTTTGGTCCAACTCCACGCAGACCTGCAAACAGAACAAAGAAACATGTTTATCAGATTGACTCTTTCTTACTTTCCTGTGAAAATAAAAAAAAAGGTGCCATCTGATGAAGTTTCCTCTAATTTAAGAGATTGTATCTTATCTCTTTTGTAATTGAAATACAGATTCAGAAAAAAAGTGCATTAATGTGTAGATTAAATGCATTTAAATCTGTTTTCCATTAATGTATTATAACAAACATGTGGGGTCCGTAAAAATAAAAAGGTGTTTCTGTAAAATACTGTATGACTTTATGAATATACCTAAAAAAGCATTTTGGAGGAAAAAAATGGAGAAAAATAATGAGCCAAGGACTATTTAAAGGAATTAAAAAGTGTTGAGGTGAAGCAATTTACAAAAACACTTAATTTAAACGCAGTTTAAATATCTTTGGTACATAGCAACAAGTTATTAAAACTGCATTGTCTTTGGATCTAACTGCTTGAGTTTTCATGGACTTTTGCAACCACCTTTAATTTAAATTTATTTTTAATATAATATACATTTATTTATTTTTAATATAATATACATTTTCTAAATATTTTGATCATTTCCACATAAGTGAGGGCTTTATTTGAACACACATGGCAAAAAATAAATACATACCAGGGAATGCATTAGTAGATTTATAAATCAAATCTGGTTTCAAAATTTAGGTATAATGTTTTTTCTTAATTTTTTTCAATACACAATATTTTTCTTATTTAAAAGCTTCACCTTACCTTCAGTGAAAGTGATGACAGCCATCATCAGCACAATCGCAGACAGAACCAGACGAGCCATCCTGAAGTTTGTGTTTTAGGTAGCAGCAGGTTATTTTATCTCAGCTAAGGTCAGATGTTTGTTTCTGCTCTTTGGATAGGATTTCTTTTCATATTTATACTCACTATGAAGAGGAACACACCTTATTAGGGGGATTACCTACATGTATGGAAAATTCTGGCTTTATTGTGCTTACTAGTGCGTAAAAGTTTCACTTCTGCAATACCGAGGAAGAACGTGGTTTCCCTTTTTTAACCCAAGCTTTAGTTTCTCCATCCACTGTGGCTCTATGATCTATTTTCATCATTGAACCTCATCTGAGTACTCTGTTTATGATGCAAACCCTAATTTTAGTAGACCCTCATTTTACAGAGATGCAGGGCAAAGGTCTGTCTTAACTTTTTTTTTTTATTAAAAGTTAATTATTGTATGAGGGGCTATTTTGTGCTGTGGAGGGTCTGGTTGGCTGGCTCATGCCGATTCTGTTGATAGAAGGGGTTGGGTGCTGCAGTTGCTGGGACTCATGTTTTCTCAGGTTCGGGCGTTGAGTGACCCAGCTCTAAGCTCATGGCTCGGGTGCTCTGGTCTTAAACTCCAGAATGAAGGGGATCGCCTTCTGTATCAAAGGACTGGGGGCTCTGAGATATCAGCACCTGCAAATAAAATATAGTATGATAAGATGGAATAAAATAAGTTAAATGAGTAAAATTATATACAATCATCCTTTCCTTAAATGTACAGATTAGTTTTTCTAATACAGAAATAACATTATTTGTATAATTATTTTATTCCAGATTCTTGTTTTATTTCTTTTTTTTTAACTATTATTTTGGAACCATTGACTCTTGCTGAAGATACTATTTTGAGTACATCAAAGCATGTTTAATAACTTCTGAGAAACCTATAGAGAGAGATTTTATTTTGTTCTGTGACTTAATTTAATAATGATACTGAGGGGGCTTTAAATTTATTTTTAAAAACTAGAAGGTGTCTTTTAGTAAACCTTGAGTTTAATTTACGCATATCAAGGCATAGCCAAATGTCCTCTTTGCAGAGATAGAAATCTAATACCCCTAATTCTTATACGACACTAGTGCTGTGCAGTGTCCAATCCACTAATATTACAATTTAGATAAATAATAATATTTATAAATGTGGTTTGCTGCTTAAATTTTGAAACCATACAAGTTCCATATTTCATTTGTTTTTTGTCTGTGGTACAGCTGCAGCATATGTATTATAAAACATATAAGCCAAGAAACGTGTCTAAAATGTGTAAATGTGTATGCTGAAGTCTTCTTAGATTGCTTGATATCATCATTCTGATACTGACCAGAATGTTTTCAGACTGCTTTTTTTAATGTTTAAAGTTCATGTCGTTCAGGTGAGAAGAAGGAGATGGAGAGAAAGAAGAGAAGGAGAGTGATTAACAAACGGGAAACATTATTAATATTTTTGATTTATTCAAACCTATTTAATAATGCTTGCTTGACAATATTACTTTGTGGCAAAGAACACAGACAGAAAGGTGAGAAAGAGTGATGAATAATACTTTGGACAATTTGCACTTTTAGGAGTTGTAATGCAAAGCAGTTTTTACTTATACTTAGGAAATATTGTCCTATAGTATCAATACTGCTACAGTAAATAGATACTGCACTGTACACTGTTAGAATCTCAAGTCATTTTAAAAACTTTTTTCTTAAATGTTACTTGGTGTGGTGGGGGGGTGCCAGGGGTTTGTTCGCCCAGGGTACCAAATGGGCTAGGACCACTCTTGCCTACAGTAGTAGCCATTCAAAACTTCCCCACTTTCCTTGATGGGCCTTTGGCTGATCCCCTTTAATTCCTTTTTAAACATCAATCTTTGTACTAAAATATTCTTTCTGTCATGATTTGTGAACATTAATATCTAAAGAGAAGCGTCATCTCCTGGTTAGACCCTGTAATTCAGCAAAAGGGTGGAGTCAATAAAAAATATGCAAGACGGGGGTCACCTCATTGGCTGGAGTTGGATGGGATTTCGCTGGGAGTTTGATGGAAGTGGGCTGCCATTCGACTGGGAAGGGCCATTTTGAATGGCTGCTATGGTATACTCTTGTTAAGCAAAGGATTGTGGTCATAAATATAGCTCCTACAGTTGGCAAGGAATGTCATTTACCCGATCTGTTCCGGAAGCACGATCCATTTTGCGCATACGTGAATAGATATACATCCGGGTGTCCATAAATATAGTAATTATGGTACTAAAACTACTTATTTCTATCCTTAACTCACTAAAGAATACTAATACACATCTGTAGTGACAAGGAACATCAGGAGGTCCATATGCTACTTGCACTGGTGCTAGGAAGCTTCCTGATTTCTTGTCCTAGCTCCTTTGTTTCTGCCAAAGCAGGTAGCACTTAGAGCTACTGCTGGCACACTTCCACCATGCCTTAAGTAACCTTACCGATTTAGGTCTGTCTTCAAAATCTGGACCTTATGAGTAACTGGCACAATGTATTTACTGAGGAGTTACGCTTCAGCACCCTCCAATATGTGAAAGCATTTTAAATTATGTCAAAGATGTTCAATGTCCCGATGTAAAACTTTTATTTTTATTCCTATAATTTTATATTTTTAAACAAATAAAGTTTTGATTGCGGTCCTCATTTATCTGATATATTCTGTCATCAGTTATCTCTGAGTTACGAGCCTCTCGATCACAGAGGTGGTGCTGCTGTATAAGGGCGACAGTGGTATTGAATGCAAGAGTTTACCCAGCAGTTGAATGGTCAATGGTTAAACCAAAGCTCTTGATTGTAGTGTTATTGGGCAAGACACTTCACTTGCATTGCTTACTGATGGAGGTCAGAGGGCCCATTGGCACCTATGTAGGGCAGTCTCACTTCTGTTAGTGTGTTCCAGGGCAGCTGTGGCGACAGTGTGGCTCACCACCATCAGTGTGTGTGTGAATAGGTGCATGAATGAATGTAGTGTAAAGCGCTTTAGTCAAAGCTCTGCTATATTAGTACAGGGTATTTACCATGATGCTGGTTCTAGTTAGAAATTACAATTCATGATAAACAACAGAAATGGTTCTTACATAAAACAATGGGTCTGGCTTTATCATGATCAATTACAGAAATTACTTTTAAAGCTCTTATTTCAATCAAACTCTCTAAAATATTAGACCCATTAAAAATTCAAGCTGATAAACATGCTTGGTAAAAAATAAACAGGTCTGCTTAGTGTAAATAGCGAAAATATAACAGAAAACATAAGCAGCATAGAGCTGCATGATCAGTTTTAGGTATATTTCTGAGCACAAGAAGTGACCAATGGATGTCACTAAGCCCAATGAGTATATTGGTGAAATAAAATACAGATAAAAAAAAATAAATAATCTTCAAAAACAGCAGGTTTTATCAATTGATTAAATAAACATGTCACCAACCCCTCTTCTCTATCCTTCTTCTCATATGATTTCAGACACCATAGATAGTAGTAAGTCATGGTGTCTGTATCCACTGGTGGGGTTGAAACTTTTAACAATATTTATAGCTAATGAATGGGTAACACATTTTTTTTCTCTGCAAACTTATATAATTGTAAATGCAAGTAAAAAAATTATAAAATAGTTCAAACATGGTGGTGGTGGGGGTTAGTACTGAGTTCAGCAGAAGCTGATCGGCAAAGAAGCACTGCTCTTTTTTGCTGATGTGTGGCAAAAGAGTCTCAGTCTTTACCTTGATTTATAAATCACACTTTCAATCTGTCAACACTTTCAGCTTGTACTGTATCAACTTTCTAAATGTTAAACACTACATAAAATGGTTTGATATCACAAACCACTTCAGCACAATAATCAGTTCATCTCAAACATCCTTCCTAAAACTGCTCAACAGCTCTTAGATCAGGAAGGCCACCTTGATCACATGGAAGAGAATGCAGTTTATTCTGTTTGCAATATCGACTGTAATTTGACGTAAGAACTGCACTTTTTGGAGTCTCTATTAGTAGTCACTTTATATGTGTTCTAATATGCTTTTTTGTGCATGTTGATTTGTTTCCTTTTTTGTCTTCTCTTCTCTTCTATTCTATTCTATTCTATTCTATTCTATTCTATTCTATTCCATTCTATTCTCTGTAAGCAAGGCTAGTCCTGTTTTTATTGAACAAATGATTTTTGGGCTAAGAATACACAGAATATCCATGAAGTAAAATAAATTCTTTACATGTGATTGCTGGAGGAAGTTAAGAAGTCTGGGTGTTTTTATCCTGGGTACTGAAGATTGTAATGAGACCTGTTGTTAAGGACTGGCTCAGCTGTTTCAAAATTGAAAGAAAATCCCCACAGTTTCTTGTAAGACATTCTCATACTCTGTATGTAATTTCCTTTTATTGTTTTTTTACGTTTCAGGCTTTTCCAACTTTAAGTTTTCAGTATCGTAATGTTTGAGTTTGAGATGATAAAAGGCCAAACTAAAGGCCAGGACATATATCTCTTGTATTCTGTTTCTGAAACATGTTCTAGGAAGCGCACATGCAGTGAATATGGTGCACTAGCAGGGCTCCACTCATGTAAAACTAACTTTCAGTTTTTGTCCTTGAGGCAGACTCCCTGTATACTTTTATGACTTGGCAGAAAAAGTTTCCTTTTGATAGAGATTGAAGGTAGAGCAGATTTGTCGAGCCTCCAAAAGTAGGATCCAGAATTCAGGTAGACAGAACAGGTTTCTCTTAAAAAGAAAAGCTTTATTGACTGCTCTGAGTACTGCGGCTCGTCAGCTAGGACTGGCTTACTGGAATCTCTGTAGAGATGGATACTCAGGTTAGTGACCACGAAACTCAGACTGGGAACGATAATGAGCATGTGAGTCACTAATCTACTTCTTCAATTCTGTCTGTGCCCAAAGGAGTGGGAACCAGTCAGATGATTTCTCAACAGCCTGTGGCAGACTGACGAGCAGAAGCCAGCAGATGCAGAAGAGCAGATGAATCCGAAGGGAGAATCAAGAAGGTGACAATCCAAAGGCAGATGCCCAGACCAGAAGATTAGAGAGATGAAGAGATATTGAAGGGGAATCCAAGCAGGGGTCAGGGGACAG